TGCCACCTCTTATAATTGCTCAGTAATTTCTATCTTGCCCCTCTAGAAATCCAAGTGATTAACTTGCTTAGTGCTCTGGTTGTTGCCTGCCATCAGCAAGCTCAGAGTACTAATGCCTTGTGTCCAGGGATCAATCCCCACAAGACACTTATTCCCAAAGGATTTTGGCTGGCTTTTCTTCCAGATAGAAGCCATAAGGCAACATCCTAGCTTTCCCTACTCTGAAAAAACCACTGCATAGCCTGCACCACCACATCCCAGACGGAAAACGAGTAAGAAAGATACTCTTTGTTTCACTAGCAAGGATCACATCCTAAAAAAACAACCAGAGCAACAGATCTGGGAGAAACCCTTCCACTGAGGCAGGTTGTTTCCCAGAGCAAAAACTGTACTCCAAACATAAAAGTGCCCCTGTGATCTCTGCTGATCACCCAGTGCTGCGCCGTCTGCCTGCGCTCCAATGAAGGTTTGGAGTTAGCACTGGGAGGAAACAGAGCACCAAGGCAACAACATCAACAAGAGTGTTTAAGACACCGTGGAGGTTTAAACCACTCTAACTGGGTGGATGCCCAGCATGAGGGAGCTTTATGGATTAGTTAATGCTGGCATCTTTCTTCTGTAGGAAAAAAAAAGACTGGCAGGAGCCATCTGTGTCACGGCGTATGGCCGACTGCCATGTGACACACGGCCCACAGGGTTTATTCTGAGCAGCTCTGTAAAGCCTAAGCAAGATGATCCCAAGAGCATAGAGCAAACCTAAACAGCATTAGTTTTTCCACATCTAATGCATCCGAGTGTGCCAAAGGAAGAGAGCAGCACAGAACAAGGGAATCACCAAATCCTAGTTAAGAGAAGATGTCTAGATGGACCTTGACAGTCGCCATTCAAAACCCAAGAAGGTATGGAGGATGTAAGAACACAGTTGCTTTTCTTAGCTCCTTAATTCTGAGCCTATAAGCAAGATATATGAATGACCATTATCAGCTCACTATCTGCATTAGAACTACTTGTGTCCACTCCTTTAGAAGAGAAGGAAACGCTCCAGAGATCAAATTATATTTATAGGAGAGACAAAAAAAAAAAAAAAGGTGCAAAATCCCAATCCCAGTAGCAGTGATTACTCCCTTTGATCTCCATTTATCAAGCTTGCCTTTCACAACACATTAGTTGTAACTCCTACCTTGCTTACAAAAACCATGACAGTCAGAACATCATTGGTTTCTACTACCAGTAGAAAAATTCTTGCCAAACTTTCTGAAGCCCCACACAGTCCCAGATCTCCAGGACTTGCCGTGGCTGAATTTGATCTACTGTCTTCCAACAAAGACTTTATTCACTGTTGTAAGTGGCAGCCCAAGTCACATTCAAAATGTCATTTTATAACCACCTTGTTATATATCATGCAGCTACTCCAGATTCTTAAAAGTGAATGCAATGTTTGGGAAATGGGTCCAGTTGGCAAAGATGCCCCCTCTTCATTTGCATAATTATAGGCTGCGTTTTAATACTACTTATGGTTAAGGGTGCCTGACACTTCCCATAAAGAAATTCGGCTTTCATTTACTAAAGACATTGCCAAACTCTCTGTGCTTGGTACTATATTTCCTAGCCAATGTCTCTGTCCTCGGCTGAGTTATTTGGGAAAGTTCCAGTTAAAAGAGTTTGGCTGTCTCCCAGAATGAAGTGAGGGGGGAAAAACAATTTGTCTGTATAGAAAAAAAAAAAAAAAAAAAGCAATAACCATTTAATGGAGAGGTTCTCACAACCATATGCTCTGAAGCAAGAACTTACAGCATTGGGGAAGGATTGCATGTATCAATGTTGCTGTTGTTGCCCTCCTTTTCCTTTTTGGCAAATTTTTCCTTTTGGTGGACTTCTAATTCTGTAGAAGACCCTCAGCTCAGGCATATTTTCCAGGCACTTATTCCAGCAAAATTCTCTTAAGATAATTCTGCTCTGAAAATGCTCCAGATTTGCAAAGCTCTCACAGATAACTTTCCAGGAGCACCTCTGCCAGGCAACTGCTTATCCCAGGCACAAGAGTCATTTTCCAGAAGTCCAATTTATTTCCTTTCTTCTTCTCACCAAATCATGCTAAAACCAAGGAGATCAGAAGAGAGGCAGAGACATGAGGAGTCCTTCCCTTTCCTGCCATATAGTTTTTCCTATGTGCTCCTTGGCACTTCAGAGAGAGGGAAGACTAGCTGACATGATATGTTTTGGGATGGCAAGATGGTAGCCTTCCCCTGGAGAGCAGAAACTACTCTTCTCTCCAGCACAAGGAGGTCCTAAACCAGGCTGAGCAGTTACATTCTCTGGCTCAAAAACCCTAAAGTCATCCATAAACTCAGCAGAAGGAGCCATGCTAGGGAGCTCTCTTTCAAAGGGCATTAACCAAGAAAGGGATGAATTGAAAAAATAAAATACTCCTTCTTCAACAGCAATCAAAAAAAAGTCCAATGCAAGAATCCTAAATTCCACATATTCTCATTCATCACTAAGAATCATTTTCCCTCTGGAAGTATCATGCTTGTTCTCCATATGAATAAGCACAGGATAGAGTGTACTGAGAAGAAATGCTGCCTAGGAGTTAAACCACAAAGTCAAAAGATTCCAATTCTATTCCTGGCAAATACCCAACACCAGCATTTGCAAACCAAACGCCCGAAGCAAGGCACCAACATCCATATTCAGGCACTTAAACACGGAGTCTTGTATGCAACAGCCTTGCAAGGCCAGTATCAGTTACCCATGCTCCAAAAATCTCTGCCTTAACTGTTTGGTGTCTAGTTAACAGTGTTCCACTTGTGGAAATATGTGGGGAGGAAAAAATTGGACAAAAACCTCAATTAGTTTCTCTATGTCTTCCTACCGGCCAAAGGTTTTCTCCTCACTTAACACTTGGCCATGGAAAGAGCCAATTCCCTATTTAGCAGCTGTGGTGGGGCAGAAACCTGCCAGCGTGTAGCACATACCTGGGTTAAGAGTTCTCAGACAAATATCCCCACCTTGATGGCACAGACAGGGATTGCTAGAGGAGGAATCAGATGTTTCAGGTGTTGTAAGGCTTGGTTAGCCACAGCTCCTCACACAGGTGCACTCCTCCTTCAGCATTGCACTGGGAGTCCCACCAATCACAGTGGGATTAAAAGCAAGAGAAATTGCTATCTGCAACAATCTGGGAATCTTTGGCTGGTCTCTCCTATTTAATCATCAGAATGGTATTATTAGGTATGTTTTAAAATTCACCATAATTTAATAAATAATATGAAAGTATTTGTAGATGGACCCTTCTTTGCTAAGCAACTGGTCACTACTGTAACAAACATTCAATGCCAAATCCAGGCTTTTTAACTTCCCTGAAGTGTTTTTCCCCTCCTATGAAAAAGCAGATGTTCTAAAGCAACTGCAACTGTAAACTTCCAATATGCACTCAAAGGCTGAAATCTAGTATTTAAAATGAGCTGTTCTAGTACAAAATGTCTCCACGGTGACCCTTGGTAGCTGAGTGGGAACTGGATTTAGCAGCAGGTCCAAGTGGAAGCAGCTCCTGTTGTTGGCATCTGGGCTCCAAACCACGCCAAGGTGTCGAGTGCTGCTCCACACTCTCACCAAAAGGAGATAAAGAAGTTTCCAGCAAATTGCTTCTACCAAGCAAACAGATAACATGCTCATCTTATTGTGAATTAGTCATTTATGTAATGAAGTCAGGTTTTATAACAGGGTTTAACCCTAAATCTCCCTACAACCAGTAAATAGACAGTTTTTCCAGTGAAGAGCCCACAGAGTTAAGAATATGCAATTCTTAATTGCTTAAATATCCATACACCTGTGCACTGTTAAAATGAAATAAAGGGTTTGCTTTGTCTTTTTTAAATTAGGGAGTTCAGATAACTCAAGCCTCAAAAAAGTGTGCAAGAGTACCAACAATTTCAAGAAAATATTTAAGCGTCACAAGCTAGGTTGGAAATGGAAGAAAACAAATTCTCTGCTTCATACAAAAAACCCAAACCCTGTTTGTGATATATCTAGAACTGCTGTATACTTAACTACCTGTTTAGCTTCTGTAGTTGTCCCAAATTGTCCTTTTTTTAAGTTTCAACCATAGAGGAACAAAAGCACTAGGATACAAATTCAATTCTCCTTCTCAATCCAGAATCTCTCTTCTGATGAAAGCTGGATTAATGCCAGAGGAGCTGACAGCAGTCCTGGCCTCCTGATGGGGAACACCAGAAAATTATTGTTACTGAAAATTCGAAACCCTACATAATCTGGTTAAGATTTAAGAACAAGTAATGTTTCCTCTAATAACAGTTTTCATAACAGAGTCTTTCTCTCATGATGTATTTTTCTTGCAAGCAGGATGACATTGGCCAGGGACTGGGGATGGTTGCCAGTCAACTTGAAGTGCTCAACACCCTCCAGGAGATGGTGAGTGCACATGACTGGTCTTATATTGTATATAAGCTAAAGAGAAATATGGAGTTTGAATGGAATTCAGCTGTGGGGCTGGACTCTAAAGCTGAAGGAGTTTATTAAAGCCCACCTGGGAGGGGAAGCATGTTGTATAAAACAAATTCTCAACCTTCTAAAGGTCCATAAGCCCAGGTGGTTTGAAGAAAGTAAACACCTTTTTAAAAGCAAATCCTTTCTTTTGCTTCCTTTACAGACTTTAGCAAATCTCAGCAAGGTGAGAAGCACTAAAGAATATACTGCAATTGGCCAAAAGCATCAGGCAAATTCTTTTCTGGGACTATCTGCAACAATATTTTTATTTTGGATACAAGGCAAGGGATGTGTACAAACCCTGCTGATTTCAGATGCAGAGTGTGATAGATTTGCCCTTAGGGATCAGACCCAGGAAAGGAAAATTTCTGCTGCTGAAGTTTTACTTCTCTCTGGGATGTTCCCTCCTATTCCCTTACAGCACACACAAACCCCAAGAAAAAAAAAAAAATCTTTTTTCAAGCAAGACACGATGTAGTGATCTCACCATGAGGTTTCATTTCAACAGAAATTTTTTATTTCACATTTATGAAAAAAACATGGTAATTTGGGAGCAGTTTAACCTGTTAGTCACCAGCCTCCCAGGTTGAATAAAACTGAGAATCTCTTCATGAGGGAGCCAAGGAGCTCAGCCTCACTGCTGGTCAAGATGTGCACATCTCACACTGCAGTTTGGACAGCAATGATCTTGGCCTGAACAGACAAGCAGGCAGGTCCAAGACAACAATCTGCCAACTAAAACAGACATCCCAGGCTCAAATTCCCATCCCCACCATGCACAAGTTCTGTCCTAGCTCCCGTCCCTATCATCACCTTGAAAAGAGATGGTTCAGATCCAGGAGCTATTTCAGGACCAGGGAGTGAATGAAAGCTGGAGCAGCAAACCTTGCTTGTGAAGTCTCAAAGGACAAATGAGGCAGCATCTTTCGAAGCAGGAGGCAAGTCCTGTTCCATTTATGGCTAAGATTATGACTGGGAGAATTAAAAAAAAAAATATTTCAGAGATCAGCCAGTACAGGAGCTTTGGCTGCAAGCACTTAGGGCAGAGACAATGTCTAATAACAAACTGCCACATCCTGGACCAGATCCTCTTCCCAAGTGGATTGTAAGACATAACCCTGCATTTATTTCTGCCAAGATCAAGCATATGTGTATTTATATTGCTTGGACAAAGAAGGCTGATCAGAAATGAGTAAATAAAACCCACCTTCCTATTCTCTGCCTCTGGCTCCAGTGGTCCTATTGACACCAGCATCTCTCAGCTGAAAGGGCAGACACAGGGTACCAGGGGTTTGTCTGATACCCATAAAGGACGTTGCTGAGGCTTGCCTGGGTAAAAGTGTTTGCTACCCCAGAGCTCTGCTGGGTGATCCCAGTCTGTTCTTGGTTTTTTTTGCAGTAACTGTGGCCCAGTGAAACATGTACAGTGAAGGAAGCTCTGTACTGGACAGGCACAACCACAACCACAGCGCTTCAGTCTGCACAGGCCTTCCAAGGTGGGTTTTCTCCAGGTAACTCAAAAGTGCCTCCTGCATTCTCAGTCCATGTCAGGAGGTGTAGAGCCAGATGCAGAGATGGCCAGCATGATGATGTCTGGTACAACAGTGACAAGCAGAGAAGAGTGAGCTGCAAAAACAAAGTTGTGAGACAAAACCAGTCTGTTTCAATAAACCCACACATACACTTGGACAAGCATCCTGTCAGGTACACACATTCCTCTGCAGATTACAGCCAACACCTCTGGGTGCTGGTGGCTCAGAGATAAGTCTGTGCACCTGAAAGCTGAAAAGCTGATGAAGACATTATTGCTACCTACAAACTTTTGTCATGGGCGCAACAACATTTGCACTTTGGTACAAAGAAGAGGACTCTGGGAAGCATTTCATTATAAATGAAGAGCTGCTTTATGCTGCTTTATAATCTTCCAGCCTAGATAACTCTTGGTTGACTTTTCTCCTTGGCTCTTTTCACCCTTCTCAGTGTAGAAGCTATCCTGCCTTGCTGCTCCAGAACTGATCCCAGCACTTATGTCACCTCTCAGCCTGGTCAGTTCTGTTTGCTGCAGCTTAGGTTTCAAATTTTGGTGATGAACTTTCCATGATTTCAGACTTCAAAAGGTCCCCAGCCTGTCAGATTGGCAAGTCAGGACACAGTATTCTAGTGTAAACAAAGATGCAGATCTTTGTTTTTACTCTTCATGAAAATATTTCAGAGAATAGTTTCAATGTCAAAGAATTAATTCAAGGCCAGAACACACTCCCCTCTCCAAGTCATTCCTTCCTTCCTTTCAGCACTGTTGGTTAATCTCTATCATATTTGGATATGTTAAACTGTGTCCTCAGTAATAAGCATGAAAATGGAATGGTGCAGTGCAATTCAGAAAAGGGGAAAAGGTGAACAGTGAGGGCTCAGACACAGCCGTGTCAGGGCAGCTTGAAAACTTATCCAAGCTCCTTCACATACACACACCACTGTGATGAAATGCTATTTTACCCCAAACACTGGTGAAAAAGGAGGCTTCACTACCAAAGTCTGCCCTGAAACAGCCACTGGGAATAAAATCAACTCTACCCCAGCTGAAACCAGCACACGTGGCTTCACCTGCATGAGCCCTGCAAGGGATGAATAGCGCTTCCAGGAATGCTAAAAATTTGAAATTGCCTCTCTAGGTCTATTTTTTCTCTTTTTCTGAGGCAAACAAATCCAGATAAACAGGGAGAAGCCAAAGAGGCAGTTAAGTATACAGCAGTTCTAGATATGCCACAAAAAGAAAGTAATATTTGGTGTATAGAGGAAAGTGATTAGAGCACATTCTTCATTTCAGAATAACAGTATCTGGGAAAAGTTACAAATATGTGCTACACATTAACTTTTAGGATTGGTTTGGGTTTTTTCCCTTCGTCTATAATAAAGGGGGTGGGGGGAGGAAGGAAAAGACAATATTGAAAAAACATCACTGATTTTGTCATGTAAATCAAAATGAAATCTACAGTATAAAATTTAGTTTATGAAGAAGTAGGGACTATTTTAGATACAAAAGAAAGTAGTGTTTCAGGAGAAAAATTAACTGTCTATTCCTGTGTATATGCTAATTATAACTTCACTAACACAATATTAAGGACTAAAAATAAAGCTTGGCTTATGAAAGATAGGAATCATAATTGCCAAATGCTGTAAATTTTGACAAAATAACATCATTCAAAATTTATTTGTTAGCTAAGACATAAATACTGAAGTATGGCAGTAATAATATCACCTTATATAGTATCCTAAAGGGCTTTTCACTGCTCACAGAGAATAAAAACCAGTTTACATACAAGTTTTTCTTCCATATTTTTCCAATTTTTTTGTTTTAGGCTTCTGGAAAGAAAAAAAATAATAAAGAAAACAGTACTACAAAGTTAAAAGAAAAAAAATTTAAAAGGCACAGTTTTTATGTTTGCCCACAAACTGTGTTTGACTCAGTGCTGTTGCCCAATGCAATATCAAAGACAGTGGAGAAAATACCCTTGAAATCAGTGCAACTACTTGTAAGGAGTCATCAAGACAAGCACAGGCTCAATTTTTGGAGCTGCTATTCTGATTCAGTTATTGCAGCTAAATGAAAGGGCATGATTGGGAGGCATGAAAGGATTCAGTTTGGCTGCCTTAGTCACATTCAGGGAGCTGCTGAGACTTTCATGTTAAACTGTATCCTCATAAGGGCAGGCTTTGGCCCAAAAAGACATTTCAAAACAATTCAAACAGATGGTAGCACTTAATATATCCACGAGAAGTGTTTCTCACTCCCATGCAAGCTTTCTGAGCGCTCAGCTGGGCAGAATAGGGAAATCTCTCTTTCAAGTCGTGTTGTTTTTTAGTATGAGCATATAGGGTTCTATAATGGGGGGAAAATTGGTGAGAACTATCCAGTATCACTCTGCAACAGGTCAAACTGAAGAGAGAAAAGGAGTCGTGGAAGACTCTGAGTGCATGTCCATGTGCAGGACTTTCCTTGAAGGCAATTTTAACTGTGCAGTTCCCATTAAGTCAAATCCTCATATTTTGCTGTAGCTATTTATTACACCGTGAAACAAATGTGCTTTGTTCAGGGAATTTAATTCCTAATGATGAATATGAAACAGTTTTGACAAGTGACTCATTTCTCAACAATAATTTGTTACTGAATGTTAAAATCCCATTTTATCCTTATTCTCACGTAGGCTACACGTATGATGAACTTCAAAGTGAGTATTGCTTTAATCAACAATTCTGCAGGAGGATTTTCAAAGGATTTTTGTTTGTTTGAGGTCTCAAGAGAGCTGCTATCTTTCTTAAAGCACAAAATCCTGGATTCATGCAGATTATGAGATTATTTAATCTGCAAGGCAGTTTCTAGCAAAAATGGCCACCAGAAAAATTAGGAAAATAAGATTTAAAGGTAATATGCACAACAAGAATTGACACACAACTTCTGAAGCTCATTAGTAGCATGATTTCTAGGGCTTGACTCCAAAGCCATGGCTTTTTGGAATCATTAGCCTTTTACCTATAAACTACACAAATAAAACAATTTCTGCAACTTCACTGAAGCTCTTTTTTGTATAAAACTCAATCCTGGCCTAAAACTCTTTCCCTAGGAGATGCTTTCCTCTGAAGCAAGAGACAGCTAAGGGACTTTTCAAAGCTTTAAGGAGATCCTTGCAGTTATAAAATGACCAAAAAAAAGTTTAAAGCCAAGAACCAGTTAACTTTTCTTGAGCAGTACAAAGATTTAATGTGTGTGGAATCTGAAGAGGAAAGTGCATTAATATCCTTTGCAGTTGTTATCTCAATGGGTGCTCTGCCCTCATTCATGGAATGAAAGTCTCACTAGATACTGTGTCTCATTTCAGAAGATGGGCAGTTCTTCATATTTATTTCAGATTATTTATCAGATTATTTTACCTGGATAAATAAGAGAAAGGTCACCTCCTGCTGTGATATATTTCTAGCCTCCTGGTTGTCCCTTTTTTCACAGAGAAAGCTTCAAATGTTATTTTAATTACGTTTTTTTCTAATAAAAACATTGCTTATCAGGCTGAAATCTCAACTCCCTGAAGTCAGTGAGTTTTACCCCTAATTTAATAGAGGCAAGATTCTACCAGTTGCCAGATTTCTATTTTCCAGACTTCACACAAACAGAGGAATTGGTTAGAATGTCTCCTCTAATTCTGACACTGGTAGAAGAAAATTAATTATTGAGATTAATGCAAAGCTACATGAATTAGTGTAGTTATAATATATACCAATTACACATAATCCTGATTTTGCATATATTCCTTTCCACTTTGTGTTGAACAAGATTTTTCTTTAAGCCACAGCATTAAAATGTACCTTCCTCTGAACCAAAATTATGAGATTATGAGTCTTGACTGTAAGAAAAGAAGAGAAAAAAAAAAAAAAAAAAAAAGAAATACTTAAGAAGTTAATCTCTTGTCCTTCAGTTCCTCTCCAGTTTTTTACTGAGCAGTCCCTCAAGGGCATGAGGACCATGCACTATTTTCCCACTGCCTGATGGGTTTCTTTTGGCTATTTCAGTGTTTCCAGTCCTTCATCTCCACACACCACTAGACATCATGCCCCAAGCAGCCTGGGAACGTGGCCATTTGCTAAATCTCACTGGTGTCAACTCCAGATTGTGTCAGCTCGAATCTTAATTTTTATTCAAGTGTAACTATTAGCTCTACTGCTAATAAAAAGCCTTTGAAGAAGCTCATCCTTTATTTGTATTCTCTGCTGAATTGAACAACAGCAATGTGCAGCCAGCCTCGCACCTGGTGGAGACAGTCAACAAACCTGGCTGTTGTGACACTTCTATTTCAGGGTTTGAACCATTTTCCTGAATTCTGCTGTTGCAGAGAAAACTTAGTATTAAAAAACAAACAAACAAAACAAGCAGCTAAATTCACCTGCCTGGTTTATATGAAGTTCATTAACTTCCCATGTCTAAATCAGATTTTGTACTGGGTCACAAGCCAGTCTGAAAGGAGTGCTTAGATCCAAGGGCCAAGGTTTAATCAGTTGTTTCATATCATCCATTCACACTTTCCACATAGAAGAAAATCTCCTTTTGACTAATTGCAGTCCTGAGGAAAAGTCAATGGTTACTTTCACCTGTCCCTCGAGCCTCTCCTTTTGGTGAATTTGAGTCTCTGGATCTGCTTCAGTGTTCAGAGAGCTGCAATTATTAGGTTATTTGGCTGATGGTGAGAGGCTGGCTCTTTCTCCCCTATAAGATCAGAGCATTGTGCCCAGGGCTCCAGGCACAGACCTGAACACAGATTTTCCAAACACAGAGTTAATGCAACCATGTCATCTCATAACCACTCAAGTGGTTATTTACCCCTTCAAGTGTTTCTCGCTCAGCTGCTAAGAATGAGTTCAAAAGGGAGGAAAAGCCCAAACTGAATATGAAAATTTTACCCACCTCTTTTTGGGGCACAGTCTAAACCACATTGATTTAATGGAAAGGTTCCAGCTGGCTGCAAATCAAATCCAGTATGGAGGTCCTTAAGTGTTACTGAGCTCTTGTACCATTAACTGTGGAACAATTATAATTTTCATATCAGTTCGTCAAAATACGAGAGGGCCTTTTGTATTATTTATGTCTTGTGCTAGAGGTTGGTAAAGTTTATTGTAGCAAGGATATTAGTCACTGATTTTAATCTTTGCCAGTCGTGATAGTGCTTGGGGTTTCTTTATGTGGGTTGAAAGAACAATATGATGAATAAATAAAAACACAGAATAAAAGGGAGAAACGAAAAGACTTTCCCTCCTTGCTCAAATATATAGGAAGCCAAATGAGCTCTTTACCCTGCCAAAACATATGTGGGAATAAAAGCAAAATGTGTATGTTTAGGGTAGTTATCATCCGTGTATTTTGGACAAGCTGCATTTGTTTCTTGAGTGCTCTATAAGACAAGGGAGGAAACCAATGCCAACACTGCAAAAACACACACAAAAGCCTGGGGAAAGCCAACCCCACTGTGCACTTTTGGTGCTAAATTAGGGATAAAATGTTGGAAACCAGCCCTAGCATAGCAAAAAAGAAACAAACTACCCAGTGATGAAGCAACTGCAAACAGCTTGGTTCAGAGACTCTCAACTTCTTCCCTGTTCAGGCCCCATAAGGTTCTCTCAATAAATAATTCTGGAAATTCTGAAATATGGGAAAGCAAGGGTGCAAAAAAAAATTAATTTCCCTTTTCTAACAGAGAAATTCCTCTTTTAGAATTCAGTAAATACATAAATACCTTCTCTAATGATTTCCTTATCATCACAAACAATAGGTTTTCTAAGCATGGAATTAATTAGTCCATAGGAAGTACTACTAATAAATAGATAGAGATTAAGCCAGTGAGTAAAACTTCTTTACTGTGCAATAATGACAAACATATCAAGACATGAAGCAAGAAACATGCTGCCATGCACAAG